CTTCCCGCCGCCTGCAGCAGTTTGACAGCCTCGCATTGGCTGCAGAGGGGCTTGTCGGCCACCACAAAGAGCAGGTTGGTGTTGGCCAGCCTCTGTGCATGGAAGAGCCTGGGGGTGCGATGGCAGCGGGGACCCCAGTTACCCTGTGCCCTGATCCCTCCCTGGCCCTTGGTGCCATCTCTGCTGGCGGGTGGCTCTGGGGAGGCTGAGCCAGCAGGGTGTCCCCATACCCAGCCTTATCCCCATCCTTGTCTCCACCCCCAACCCCATCCCCATCCCTATCCCCATCTCCAAACCCCATCCCCATTCCCATCCCCGTCCCCACCTCCCTCCCTGACCCCATGCCGAGGGGCTGCCCAGGGAACTGGCACCGATGGTATTTCAGGGCTCGGTCCCACTTGGAGGAGTCTTGTGGGCATCATTATCACCCCACAGTCCATGGGGATGCTACCATTGCTCTCTGGCCCCCTGTCTGGATACCACAGCCCCCTTGAGCGCTGCACGGCCCCCATGCAGGTGGCTGCAGAGGGGTCCTGGCAAAGACAGGCTAAGGGAGTGTCCCCAACCCTGCCCGGGCAGTGGGATGGTGGTGATGGACCCACCTGGAGCAGTTGCCGCAGTCAATGATGGCGTTGTAGGTGGCGTTGACAGTGCTGAAGTAGTACTGCGTCTGCTTCATGATGCAGCTTGTCTCCCTGGCCTCCATGCTGTCCCCCGCCACCTCCTCTGCGCCGGCACAGCGCTGTGGGCCAGGGGCCACGGACCCCCTGCCACGTGCCCCTCCCACATCCCCTGCCCACCCCCCCCAGCCCCGGGGCTCCCCGGGGACTCACCCGTCTGGAACCAGCTGCTGTAGGTGAGGCCATACAGGAATTGCTGGAAGAGGGACCTGGGGGAGGAGAGTGCAGCCACGTTGCTGTCCCAGCCCCAGGGACACATTGCTGTCACTCCCCAACAGAAACAGCCCCTGGGGAAAGGATGCGGTGGGACTCACCAGGCTGCAGCTGAGGTCCACCAGGCGAGGTTCAGAAGATCTGCTACGGTGGGCTGCAGGCAAAGAAGGGGGCGGTGAGCCAGCGGGTCCCTGAGAAGGGCACTGCTGACATCCCCACGGGTCCATGAGCTTCCAGACTGCCCAGCAGCCACCATCCCCCCAGGCACTCACCACGAAGACGCCGCGGGGCGCAGCGCCCGTGTTGCTCTGGGCCTCGGGGGCGCAGACGGACTGGAAGTCATAGGACTCCTTGCGGGCGTAGAAGGAGTTGTTGTAGAGGGCGGACATCAGGTTGGCATCCACCTCGCTGAAGAACTTGCCCACCTGGAATGAGGACACTGAGTCTGCACCCAAACGCCACCTTGTCGTAGTCCCACCTGATGGGAACTCGAGCAGGGCTGTGTCACATCACTCATGACACAAGCTCAGAGGTCTCAGCTCCCCACTGGCATCCTACACCCAGGAGAGATGCCAGGCGGGCACCACTCACCTGGTACCAGTGGTCCTCCTGGTTGGAGAGCACCAGGAAGCCCCCATCATCGATGAGGACGCAGATGAGGTCCTGGGGAAGGAGACCAACATCACCCACCCTTGGCTGTGCTGAGGGCAAGGCAGGACAGGCAGGGCGGGGGTCTCAGGCAGTCGGACAGGGGGCCCAGTGCAGTGTCCCCAAGCCTGGGGGCTGCTCAGGAGCATCTTGGTGCTGGGAGCACCCATGCTCAGTGCAGGGAGTGGGAACTACCACCCACCCCAGCGGGTTTAACAGCCCCCTCGGGGAGGTCTGTGGTCCAGGGGACAACTCCAGGGACTTTGTCCCTGTGAGGGGGGCTGGGGGATAGCCGAGCTCTGGGAGCGGCAGCAGACAGGGTGGGCGCAGCCCAGACAGCATGGGCAGGGGATGGGGAGCCCTCCCAGCGTCCCCCACTGCCCCCAGCCCTGCCCAGCACCCACCTTGTTGTTGGCCTCACAGTCCATCTCACAGCTGGTTGAGGGGTCGCACTGTCAGCCAAAAGCAGGGCAGAGGGACAGGTTAGTAGGACCATCTTCCCCCACCAGCGCCATCCTCCCAGGAGGGAACATGTGGGGCAGTGTCCCCAGGGGATGGGGACGGGTGCCCTAAGCAGGGGGACAGGCAGTGGGGCACAGGCACCATGTCCCAGCTGTGCTCCCCAGCCATGTCCCCAGCAAGCAGAGCTCCCTCCCTGTCCCTGTCCCCATCCCTATCCCCGTCCCATCCCCACACTGTGCCAGCGCTGCAGGAGCCCGGGGGACGTACCCGGCGGGCGCCCAGCTGGTCGCGGTCTGTCCGGTTGCTCGCCAGCACTTTGAACTTCTCAGCCCAGGCCTCCAGGTCCAGCTTCACCCCCACCACTAGGGCAGCGGGGAGATGGGGTCAGCCCTGGCACAGGGGGATGATGGGGACCCCCTCCAGCCTGGTGGTGACACCCAGCCCCCTGCCTACCTGCTGGCTTCAGCGTCTTGCCCCCAATGCTAAGCTCCACGGCGGTGCTCACCAGGATCCCGATGGTGTTGTTCTCCAGGTCCAGCCCCCGGTAGCTGGCTGCAGAGGGCAGGAGGGGCATGATGGGACACACAGGGCCAGTGGCAGCCTGTGACACCCCCTGCCACCCCCAGCCAGCACCTACCATCCCGGTAGGGTGGCTTGAAGATGTAGCCCCTGTTGTCCAGGCTCCGCCGGTAGAAGCTGGCATTGAAGGGCTCTGGTTCCTCCTCCCAGTCGTCTGCAGCCCTGGTGGGGAGCAGTCACGGCTATGGCTGTCACTCGGCCCAGGTGCCACCAGAGATGGCCCCATGGGAGCAGGCATGTCACCACATGGGGCCGGGTACGCAAGCACCCCCCAGACACTCACTTGTTAGGGAAGACGCGGGTGATGCCCCCATCGGTGGCTGCAAAGACAGCCAGGAGGCTGTACCTGCAAGGAGAGGGGCCGGGCACACCAGGCATCAGCGGGGCTTTGCTTTGCCCTTGTCCCATCCCCATAGCCCGCCTCAGACCCCCCATCCCCCTCTGTCCCCAGCCAGCGCTGCCCATCCCTGGCCACCTCGCCCCCACCTACGTGTTGAGGTCCTGGTCTTTCCAGACCCGCTCCACCAGCTGCTGCGTGATGCCCGTGTCCAGGATCAGGTTGTGCAGAAGGAAGTTGTCACCTTGGGAGGAAGATGGAGAGGAGGAGGAGGACCGCCAGCCCCCGCAACCAGCCATCCCCAGCTACTCACACTGCTTGGAGTCTGGGGTCACCTTTTCCATGAGGGCAATAAAGTTTTCCAGGAACTCGGTGTTGTTATCCGACAAGTCGAGGTCTTTGCAATACTCTCTGGGGTTTGGGGGACAAGGTTTGTCGTTCGCGAGGATGGAAAAGGCAAGGTCAGTTCTCCCCCAGGGATGGCGGGGCAGGGGCCAGCCATGCTCGCCCCA